CGCCCCCCCCCCCCCCGCAGCTCCCTGGTCATCTTCATCGCTGGCTGGAGATGACATGATGTGAAGCCCCCTCGGAAGAAAAGTTGATATTTTCTCCGGGTGGGTTGATGGGGAGTTTCGGAATAATGTCAGTGTGTGCTCCCTTCAAGATCCAAGAAAGAAATACTCAGACTCCATGGGTTAGAGCAAAGTTATCCTTTTACTGGAAATTAAAGTGGAAGCTACAGATTTAATTCCGAAACTGAGGAATTGGCGCGCAGATCACATATACAAAGGAATGGAATTGTTCCCTCTCCCCAAAGTCCAAATGACTCTTCCAATTAAAAGTACTGAATACGATCATGTGGCCATCTTCAGGTGGTGATGAGGCTTCTGTCCGTTGACCTTGACATATTTTGATAAAAGTTCGCAGCTGCGCAAAGGGGATAGAAGCTAGCCAAGAAATGGAAAGTTAAAGACAGAAATTCATACCCCCCTCCCCTTGCTACCCACAGCAAAGGAATGCAAAACACCTCCAGCTTTCTTCCCCTCCAAGTTCCCTCCTCCCTCCGTTGCTAATGACAGCCGAAAGAAATAGTATAGCATAGCAGCAGAGAAGATGCAATAGTTAGGATGCAGAAGATATAAGATGTGGAATATATCTTGAGGCTGACGTTTGCGGGACAGGGCATCCGCCCTCCGATTGGGACCACTGGGGATACAGGTCACAGAAAAGTTGAACCGGGCAAAAAACAATGACCACCGGATCTGCCACTGGTTCAACTTTCTCACTGTTTACAAGTGTTCTAAATTCCAATGGAACGTCCGGACCTCCACCTTGTGTTGGGCCCCCTCGAGATGATGTCGCCAAGCCTCAAACGCAGCCTTGATAGCCAGTAACTCTTTTTCCCAAATGGTGTAGTTGCGTTCGGAAGGAGTGAGTTTCCGGGAATAATAAGCGCAGGGAAAAAGAGTGGCACTATCCACCAGGGCTTGCAACAGCACCGCCCCAATGGCCACGTTGGACGCGTCTGTCTCCACCACAAAAGGATGATGCGGATCAGGATGCCTCAGGATGGGTTCTGCAATGAAGGCATTCTTGAGGGCCTCAAAAGCCTGTTGCTGCGGGTGCCCCCACTGAAACGGGACCTTCTTTTGAAGGAGCTGGGTTATTGGATCTGTCAGCTTGGCAAAACCCGGGATGAAGGTCCGGTAATAATTAGTGAACCCCAATAGGCGTTGAACGTCCTTCATGCCACAAGGGGGTTCCCAACTACATAAGGCCTCCACCTTGCGCGGGTCCATGGTGATGCCTTCGGGAGAGATGATGTGCCCAAGAAACTCTCTGGAAGTCTGAAAGAAGAGACATTTCTCTAGCTTCGCATAAAGTTGGTGCTCCTGAAGGCGTTGCAAGACCAGACGAACATGTTGAAGGTGGCTGTCCCTGGACCCAGAATAGATCAGAATATCACCCAGGTACACCACCAATCTAACATATCCCGAAACACATCATTCATTCGATGCTGGAAGACTGCGGGGGCATTGGTCAACCCAAACGGCATCACAGTGTACTCAAAATGGCTGTATCCGGTGCCAAATGTCATCTTCCATTCGTCCCCCTCTCACATCCGCACCAGGTTGTAGGCCCCTCAAAGATTGAGCTTGGTGAAGATAGCGGCCTTCCTCAACCTCTGCAACAACTCCGGAATGAGTGGCAAGGGGTAGCTATTCCGCAACGTGATGGCATTTAGTCGACGGTAATCACAGCACAAACGTAAGTCTCCCATCTTCTTCTTGACAAAGAGGACTGGGACTGAGAGAGGAGATAACGAAGGCCGGATGAACCCTCGGGCCAAGTTTTTGTCCAAAAAGTCCCATAGTGTGGCCAGCTCGAGCTCGGACATGGAGTACAAACGTCCCTTTGGCAGTGGTACATTGGGCAGAAGGTCCACTGGGCAATCATAGGGCTGATGCGTGGGTAACCGGTCCTCCTCCTTCTCACTGAACACATCCGTGAAGTCCGTCAGTTCAGTAGGTATGGAGACGGCAGAGGTGGTGATGTCCTGGCCAGCACAGGTGTGGCAGAAGTGGTCCACGCACTACAGACTCAGAAAAGAAATGGCATTCCGCGACCATGCCACCTGAGGATCATGAATCCTAAGCCAAGCCATGCCGAGGACTAATGGGAAATGGAGGTCCGCGGTGACATAAAAGTGGATCGCCTCCTCATGTTCTCCAATGACTAGGTGCAAAGGCTGGGTGGCGAATTTAATGGATCCTGCAATAAGTTCCCACCCATCAATAGTCTCGACCCTCATCGGAGGTTCCACTGGAATCAAGGGGACATCAAAATGGGCTGCAAAGGGAGGGCGGAGCTGGCGTCGCG